AAGCCGATTGGTCAGTTTCTTAGATTGCCTGTAGCAAACGGCTGGTTCCTTTGTTCTCGGGGAAAAGTAGACGTCGACCTTTCTCTGGACCTCGGGAAGGATCGTGGAAAGTTTGGTGGTGATAGCTATTACAGGGACTGAATGCATAGCGAACAGACAGACAGACAAACTTTCTTCTTTATATATATAGATAGATAGATTCTCGAATCTGCTCTTGCGAATGATTTATAATTCTTTGAATTTTTAGTTGAAAAGCCACCGTGTCGTAGGGGCAGTCTTTGTGAATTTGAAAAACAAAAAATTGGTTTAACATTAGATGATCTTTTACGTGATGAGATTTGACCAAATATTTCGTTAAAAAATCAATCATTTACAGTGAAATTAGTTCTTGTTATAACAATACTAATGTTTTTTATTGGTCTAATTAATAGTTTGTTTTCGTTTATAACATTTCAAAACAAAGAATTACGAAAAGTTGGTTGTGGAATACATCTACTTATGTCATCAATCACTTCACTCATCACGATTTCAATTGTTACAGTGAAGTTTTTCTTTGTTCTTTTCACTCATATCGATATAAAATATGTACATCCATCAATCATTTCTGGTGGTTGTATTTCTATTGAACCTCTTGTGAAATTATTTGTTTTTCTGGATGGTTGGTTAAATGCCTGTGTCGCTATTGAACGAACAATACAAGTTTTCCACGGTACTAGTTTCAATAAAGAGAAAAGCACGCGTGTTGCTCGATGGGTCATTTTATTATTACCGTTCGGAATCATGGGTACGATCATTCATGAACCTATATATCGCCGAATTTTCCGAACCAAAGGTTTTAAGCCTTTTATAACTACTGATAAACATGAAAAAAAATTCTGGTGCTTGACTCGTTACTCACCTGTCATTCAAACTTATAATACAATTATTTTATTTTTTCATCTGGTTGCTCCATGTATCATCAATCTTTTTTCGGCTTTGTTCATTATCATTCAAGTTACTCGACAACGATCGATTGTTCAACAAAAACTAACTTATAAAGAACATTTTCGTCAACAATTATATGAAAATAAACATTTATTGATCAGTTCAATTACTCTTCTTCTTCTTGCCTTACCTCGTTTGATTATTTCAATGCTATCGACATGTACTGAAGCAACTCAAAATCCATGGCTATATCTTTCTAGTTATTTCATTGCGTTCATTCCTTCAATACTTATCTTTACCATATTCGTCGTTCCTTCTACATTATATATGAAGACATTTAAACAATCGATCAATACTTATCGACGATATATCTGTCGACAATAAATTTGTTTAGTACTTATTACCAATTTCTTATAACATAATTCATACTCGTATCCGAAATGCGGTGAGAAACCAAGGATTAGAGTAGTGGCGGCGCCAAGGGGAGGGGCGGGGGCGAGGGAGCTCAGCCCCCCTGAAATTGTCTGAGCCCGCCCTAGCATAAAAACCTTTCGCCAAAATATAATCTTTATATTAGAAAAATGCAAGATTTCCATCGTTGAGCCCACCCTCAGTGAAAATCCTGGCGCCGCCGCTAGATTAGAGAATAGCAACTTCGTTATATATAGAAGGACAGTTTCATTCTTTGATTCGCTTTCAAAAATATCGTCAATCAAATTGGCGTCTAACTTTGTTTTCAAAATTCGTTTTAATTATCTTGCACAGACATCCTATGTAATAAAATAACGCTCGTCGAGGGAGACTCGCATTACCCTCGACTGATTGGGTTATACTTCAGATAAAACTGGTGCTTCCAAATGATGTCTCGAGAACGGTCCTCGTCAATTTTTTCAATCTTTTTCAAAACTAACCAAACAACTGTCATCGTTCTTGTTATTTATGTAATGTCCATTATTCATGATCATTTTTCACACATGAAACAGCACTCCGCTATGAATAGCTACTATGATCCTTGCGTCTTTTAGTGATGCAAAACTCGAAATTTCGACTCAACTATTCAACTATTTTTGCAGTCTTTTTTCAATTATTTGAATATTTGACTGCTTTCCAAACTCTTCTGTTCATCCTCACTGAAATGATGTCCCTTCAGAACCCGTTTACTCACTCGTAAGTATACGGATACTAGAATAATTGAACGGAAGGATAGACTGTTGAATTTAAGTTTCAAACGATAGATATTTGGTGTTNCATGCACAAACAAGAGAAAAATGTCATTTGACGCGATGTCATCGAGGATATTAGACTTTATATCCATCTTTATTTTTTTCTGGAGACTTTTTAGCCGATGCTGGAGTATCGATCGAATAAGGCGGTGGTTCGTCCACGACACTTATCTCTACAGCTGTACTTCGACAATGCTGAAATAAACACCAGATAACAATAGCAACAATCATTAGTAAAAGCAGTAGCATATTAATGAACATAACGGTATTGTGAACAGCAAGTATGCTCACAAGTTTATGAACTCCATTGCGAACTTTTTCATTGATCACAGCTGTTATCTGTTTAAGCAATTTAGCCGCATTCACACAAATTGTATGTAATAATTTGCGCATCATAGTTTGAGACTTTCGAAACATATGGACCCATACTAAATCAAAACGAAAAGGAAATCGATTAGAAAAAAATGCTCATTCTATCTAAACCTCGAGTTTATCTGCACTGATTTCGTCAATCGCATCATTTCTCAACTTTGAAAACTTATACTACAATGAATGGAATTTATCCAAAACAGTATGACACTTTTTAATTCCAGAGAGGACGATTCAACACGAATGCCGAGCGACTTTCGACAGAGAGAAGAACAGCCAGCTTCACCAAACCGAAGTAGTAAATAGCTGAAATTAGTTTCAAACACAATCGTGATACCGATCTATAATACGTGCACAGATCATTTGCTTTCATTCCATACCGTCGCGATCAGACCGACCACTATTACACGTCGCATCTTCACCTTCACAAGTATATTCATCCTAACTAATCATTCATCTCCATCTAACTCGCGTTCCAAAACCAAATACACACAGTAAAGTGTATGTACGGATCGCACCAAATGAAAAATACATAAAATGCAGCCAATATCAACAATGAAATTTTCTCTTATTCTATCTATTACTATATCCTAAAATCTTCCATCCAAAATTATACCATCACACAGAGCAATTAATTCGAAATCGCATTCGACATTTTCACCTATACACAGATATCCTCACACGAAGGAATGTTCTCCTCCATGTTCGCACATACAATGCAAACGTGTGTGGCTGCAGAGGAAATGAAAATTTCGATTTCGGATCCGAAGTTCGTGGCGATCGGAGATATCGTTTCGGCTGTTTCTGCGTGAAATAGAGCTTCTCTTTCCGAGTCAGAATCTGTATTTCGATGGTTGAAGTTCACATTGCGAGAGGGAGAAACGCTCTCAGAGTGAGTTATACAAATTAGTTACCACGATCTAGATTTCGTCCTAATTCCAAGGACTCATCAGGTGGTTGAGTAATCTGCATATAGTAATTTAACTCAAACAAGGGTGTGAGGGTGAGGGTGGGTGTGAGAAGACGTATCTTTGTATATACGTTATCAGCTCATATTATAAACCGGTGGAACGGTTATCGGTCATTACAGTTAGTGAGTAGAGCTGTTATTGTCACTATTGCATTCCCACTCGCACAGAAGAAGATCTTAAAGATTCTGAACTGAAAAAGAAATGAGGTGTGACATACATCAGGAAATGCCACTCCATATTTATGTATTAAAATGAAATTAATGAACACTTTTTCTTTATCCTACATGAAGGATAACAGAGATAATTTATGAAAAGCTAAGGATTTAGATGAGAAAAAATAGTCTGAAAAGAGGGTTTTTTCCTTTGATCTGCTAACGTTAACTCTGATTCGTTCGTATCATCTTACATCAATATGTCATTGATGATATGAATGAAATTAGATCAGTTTATCCTGGTATAATATCTAATATCGACGGATTTATCGAGTAGAAAAAAAGCATTTCTTTATTACAAAGTAAAAGAAAAAACAAGTCGCATTTCTAACCAATTGATAATGGGGTTCGTTCGAAACTTTTAGTGAGAATACTAACACTTAATTGGATATATTTTTAAGTAAATTATTGCTAGTCAACATTTAAATATACACAATCATAGGTAGTATTTTTGGTTAACATGTCGTTTTCTAACTTGATGATAGAAGTTTACTGGCTGATCCGAGTGGAGCTTGCTCCATACGTCAAACATTTTAATTATCTCTGTTATCCAGATGGACGAACCGTCAACATCGTTGGATACTACCATTTTATATTTTACTGTTGCTGTCGAAATCTGACAGTTTCGCGGGTGATTACAGTCGAAGAAAAGACAAATAAGAAGTTAACTGATAAGGCATTGACATTGATCGAGCTGTCAGCTTACATCTTTGAATACGGTGTCTGTATGGAATGTCCTTTAAAAAAAATCTTTTGCCATTTGGTCTTATGAATAAATGTCTTCAATTATTAAAATATCCTTCTGGTATAAAACAAAGAACTAATTGATAAGAAATGCAACTTATATATTTATTTTTAGTAAGAAGTGAATATCAGATTAGTTCATCATTTATAACAAAAAAAGAAAGCTGCTGTGGTAATTTTTTGACTGCAAATTTTTCTACATTGAAACGAGTATATAATTATTTAATTCTTCTTTCGACATGTTTCGATTGAATTTTTTTTCACGAGGTTTCATTCCAGAACTCATTTGAGAAACCAACTCATGAACAGTCAGTACTTCGTTTTTTTATTGAATCGATGAATGGCCAAACATTAGAATGACTCTTCTGCATTCTTCTCTTAAATCTATCATTGGATCTTAGAACAAGTAACGCTCTTCGAGGCCAACTCGCTTAACCCTCGACTGATGCCTTTTTCATTCTACTCATTTCAAACAATGTATGAACCCATCCATCTCGCAGTCGGTCGTCGGCGTCCCTACGGTCCGCCACTCCCGACTACTCGATATTGTGCATAGCATTACAGCTTTCTCGAATGGCGTGCGACTTCCTCACTAACACTAGATTACCGGTTTTAAGCAGATTACTTATGGTCTTGACTCTAAAATGATCAAGAGATATCCAAGGAGTATAGTTCTCTTTGGAATTTGCAGTAACAAACAATGTAACTAAATTGTGACTTCTATAGCTAAGATTCATAATTTTCTATGTTTGTGCGTACTTCATACATGAGTATGGATAGCTATATTATCAGGAATTGCACCCTTNTTTTGCATAAAGAGATATAGCCGAAACTGCCATTTTATGCGATGCACGGTGGAAAAAATAAGGACTGGAAGCGTAGAAATTTTAATTGTATTGATTTTCTATCTGTTATAACTCTTCAACACGTGAGATATTCGACATAGATATTTCTTATTTGCAGCGGGTACTCCCTCTAGTCCCTATTATATTTGTTCAAGATTTAAAGTGGCTGGAACAATTCTCATATTACATTTTCGAATGCAGTATGCGATGGATGTAACTACTAATGGTATTGCGAGTTTCAGAGCTGTTACTAAACCACCCAACAATCCAATCAATGTCGTTATTATGAAAATCACATCGTTGCGTGTTTCATAAGTGTAACTACATTCCGACGGTTTACAGTGTTCGTAGTAGTTTTCATACATTATGAACACGTTCCATTGTTCAATCATCAGTTTCTCGAGAATTTCGTTAACTGTTGAATTCATAAAATAGTTGCTCTCAAAAGATGAGTTGAGAACAGTGATCGGAAATACTGAAGGATGTGATAAATACGATTGAATGGAATCAATACAATTCTGATCATAGAAACACTGGAGAGTTGATTGTAATAATGCTTCAAGTACATAGCAACCAATTGAAAAGCCTGGTATCAGAAAAAGTATGTCACTCGTCGATTCACCATAAATGTACGACTGTTGTGTACACAATGATGAAGTAAAACAAGTACAGTTTCCATACGCTTCTGTCTGCGTTCGAATTCTAATATCGCGATTGTTCGGCAGAATAAACATGAAATAGTTAGATAGTGTACCACTAAGAATGGAATTGCTCTGAGTAGTTTGTCGAATCAGAGATAAAGACGATATCAAGTTACTAATTGTGAAATACTTCAGCTCCTCAACTACGGCTTTCGTCTCTGATTGAAATAAATTATACGGTATCACAGATGACCTTGTATATGTACTTGTATAGAATACATCAAACCGAGTTGTTAATGTACGATTTACCATTTCACAAAACTTTGATATTAGCAGAAACACACTTGGCGCTTTTACTCGGAAATCTCTGCTCCATAAGTCATCACCACGATTATCATAAATATATTCAATCCAGCCTTCAGTTATGAAAACACTTGAACATATTTGATGAAATGTGTAATTGATTCGAACGATCTCTTTGTAATCGATCGAGATTTTCGTACACGGACATGTTAGTGTTTCAGAATAAGTAATATTTATATGAGTATAATCAGTAAACGATGGCGATTTCATCGTGACTGTTTTTTGGATACATATCAAAGAGTTGTAAAGAAGAAGAATAGTAAACGATAGAGCGAAGAGAAGAACGAATAATCTTGTTGAAATGTGTTCATTTCTGAGTTGATGTTCATCATTTGAAGGCGGGACGGATGGAAATAAATTAAGATTTTGTATAGAATGTTTTATCGTTTGCCATAAAATCGATGTTCGCTCGTGGATGGTTAGTACTGAAAAGAATAGAGAAAATGTTTCATATAGAATTTGTGATTTATCTGTATGTCTTTTACTTACCTATTGTCTGTGTATTCGCGTCCTTTTTTCTACGTACAAAACTTACGAACAATGGCACTGCAAGTTTGAGAGCTGTGACTAAACCACCCAACAATCCAATCAATGTCGTTATTATGAAAATCACATCGTTGCGTGTTTCATAAGTGTAACTACATTCCGACGGTTTACATTGTCCGTAGTAGTTTTCATACATTATGAACACGTTCCATTGTTCAATCATCAGTTTCTCGAGAATTTCGTTAACTGTTGAATTGACATAATAATTACTTGTTAGAGATGAATTCAGAGCAGTGATTGGAAATATTGACTGATTCGACAAATACGACTGGGTAGAATCAATACAATTCTGATCATAGAAACATTGGAGAGTTGATTGCAATGATGCTTCGACCACATAACACCCAATATACATACCTGGCATCGAGAGTGAAGGTGATGGGTTCGGATAATTGTAAAAATATGCCTGCTCAATACATGTTGCTGACGTAGCACAGGAACAATCACCATAATTCAGAGCCATGGACGCTGCGGATGTACTTCTCGGTGGTATAGCTAGTACATAGTTCGTGGTGAGTGAAGATAGTAAATTGTTGCCAAGAGTTGTTTGCCGAATAATGTAGAATGATAAAAGAAATCTATTAATCATTGATGATCGAACTTCACTAACTGATGTTTTCACTTGCGATGGAAATACATCAAATGTAGTTAGATATGCACTGATATACTGATTAGAATAGAATTCATTCAAATTCCGTGAGACCGTTTCGTTTGCCCATTCGCAAAAGCTTTTCAAGACTTGAAATACGTATACAGATATTGTACGGAAGTCATTATAAAAAAGATCTAGTCCTTCATTAGCAGAGTCGATGTAATCAATCCACTTGCTACTGACGAACGTGCTTGAACAAACCTGATGAAATGTGTAATTGATTCGAACGATCTCTTTGTAATCGATCGAGATTTTCGTACACGGACATGTTAGTGTTTCAGAATAAGTAATATTTATATGAGTATAATCAGTAAACGATGGTGATTTCATCGTGATTGTTTTTTGGATACGTATCAAAGAGTTGTAAAGAAGAAGAATAGTAAACGATAGAGCGAAGAGAAGAACGAATAATCTTGTTGAAATGTGTTCATTTCTAAGTTGATGCTCATCATTTGAAGGCGGAATTGATGGAAATAAATTAAGATTTATTAAGTAATATTTAACTTTTACCGATAACCGATGAATTGCTTGAATCATATCTGGCAAAAAATAAAATAAAAATAGCAAATTTTAGTTTATCTCTATGTAAGTTTTCATTTAAGAAAATATCTCTCGTATTGTATTAAACGTTTGATTTCGGTAAGTGTTCACAAAGCATTCTTCATGAATTAGAACAGCAGAAAAAGAAAAAGAACAAAACTTTCTTCTCAAGTATGAAACAAACATAGGCATAGAAAGAAAAAATGTTTTTCATTCAGCTCACATCTCTAACAGAACTGTATGTTATTCTATAATAAAAGAAACAATTCCCTTGATGGTTATCGTTTATATTAAATAACTATGGCTTTTCTCAACGGTTAGTGAAGCTAAATGATTGGATATTACATGAGTTCTTTTTCCTAGAGCACTTATATTATATTTGTGCGTCACTAATTTAAGAGAAAAATTAGTTAAGCGTTATGCACTTTACTGAGTTTTTTTGTAGTATTAAAACAATTCTCAGATTCACAGATTTTATTTTATTAAAACCACGTGGTCGATATGAGAAAAAAAAGGAAAGTTTAGTTGTTTTTTTATATAATAAACAATGATGATTATGAGTAAGCAGTCCATTTTTCTGACATAAATATAATCATCCGTTGATAATGATCGACAATCTTTATTAGATAATAAAGAATAACGAAACCTATATTAAATAACTTTTTTCTCCTTCTTTGGCATAGATGTAGAGTCTTATGTAGTTATATGGTGCACTATATTTTCAGCATGTATATTTTTCTTTTTTTTATAATCTTTCTCTTACGTCATACTTTGGCAGCCGATGATTTCTCCTTTGGTATACGATTAGCCATTAATGATCACTTTGCGATAGTTGCTCAAAATGAATTTAAGCAATTTATCTTTATGAAAAGTCCTTACAATGACCTATCAAGTACATGTAAAAACCCATATGGATTTTCTTCAACCCATGCTTTGAACTGCAATTTACATCCTGATATCGTTTCGCTGTAGATCATCATATCAATATGATAGAACTGAATTATTTTATATACATTCATTTAATGAATTAATTGTTTTTGTTTTAGCTTATACTTATACTTGTATTATATCATACTGATACTGTTGCATTTGAAAAAAACTATGAAATGAAATGAAAATTATCTATAAGAAATAAAATGAAAATGAAGATATTAAATAGCTCATGTTTAATTAAGTATAAGCTAGTAAAATTTTCGAGATGTGTTAATCATCTGTTTAAAAAAGATTTTTTTTATTGGTGGAGGCCGCTAGACACCGGTGTACCGGTAAGAAACCGGTAGGCCGGCCGGTCCGGTCCGGTCCGGTCCGGTCTAACGTTTTTAGACCGGTACCGATACCGGTCGTCAAAAATTCAGACCGGTTCCATCTATGCTGTGGCTCAATTGTAACATCAAGTCGATTGTGAAAGTTAGCTGTAACTCTAGCACAAGCAATGTCTCGATGACCTTTGCAGTAGAAAACGGCATTATTGACTTTCCACCCGTGTTACCTAACGACGGGAAATATGTTCAATGGATCTTCTTACAAACGAATGATGTTTATGAATTATTACCACTGAACAAAGGTGAGAACGGTGGCTTAGCTCGTGTCGCACACATCCGAGACTTGTTATTGAAAGAAAATCCAAATACAATAGCAATTCTTGCTGGTGACCTGGTTTCTCCATCAGCACTTGGGACAGTAAAGATTAATGGAACAACTCTACATGGAAAACAGATGATTTCGACGATGAACGCACTGGGACTCGATTATATGACGTTTGGAAATCATGAATTCGATTTAACTGAGGAAGAATTACTTACTCGTATGAATGAATCAGCCTTTACTTGGATAAGTTCAAATGTATTTCGTGTCGATACATCCCTTCCATTTGGATTAAGCGTTTCACATAAAATAATCACCATCGATGGAGTGAAAATTCTTTTAATCGGTCTAACAATCAATGAAACCGTTGGTTATGTACGGATCGTCGATCAACTCTCACTTTCCAGTTATACAAAACAATTTCTAACTTCGTTTGCGAATGATACGTACGATGTAGTCGTTGCTATCATTCATTTAGATCTTCAGACTGATATCGATATTGCCACGAGCATTCCACAAATTGATCTTATTCTTGGTGGACATGAACATGAAAACTCGTATAATTTACGAGGAACCAAACTTGTACCGATTGCGAAAGCTGATAGCAATGCGTTTACCGTTTATATCCATCGTTGCGCCTTCAATTTGGGTACGAAACAACGTCGCACTTACAGCACTTTGGCCAAAGTCTCATCACAAGTAGCAGAGCAAGAAAAAACGGCAACAACAGCGAATTATTGGTTTAATCTAGGTGTCAAAGGACTGCAACTATTGGGTTATGAACCATTGCAAACTGTTTCATGTCTACCGGATGGTGTTCAACTAGATGGAAGATATCAATCAGTCACGACTTCTAACACGCTTCTAACTGAAGCTATTTGTGAAAGTTTGATTAAAGCAACTGAACCATTTGCCACAACGGTTGGGCTTCTTAATGGTGGAACGATAGCACAATACGATATCCTGCGGACATTACCTTTTCCGAATACGGTGGTCGCTCTTGCTGTTCCTAGTCAAATTCTTGCTCAAGTACTTACGGATGGAATGTCAGCGAAAGATATTGGTCTATTCATAGATTATACTGGTGTACAGACACCAGATCAAGGATCAACATGGTTGATCAACGGAGTTAATATTAATACAGATGATCTGACGTATAGAGTAGCAACAACAGATTATCTCAGAAATAATACGAAGTTAAATAGTACACTTGTTACGTTTTTAAAACAAACGGATCAAACACAAACTAAAATCTTTATCGATTATATGAAAATTAAATACCCTTGCTAAGAATAAAAAGTACGATATTATCTCCTTATATTTTTCAGCAAAGATCAATTACAGATGAGCTGAACACACTGAGGAAGGGAAAGAATTAGATCGCAAGCTTTCCGGTCGATTGTAACCTTTAGTTGAGGAGGTATACGTCAGTGGGGTGAGTATAAGATGCGTCCGTTATCATTTATTCTATTGTATACACTCATTCTTTCTGTATTATTTATCCTTTGATATTCTCTCTTATTGTTCTACCATGTGCACCTTTCATTGAAATAGTAAATGTATACTCTCATCATGCAGACAGAGTTTGAGGGTGTGGGTGAGGGTGAGGATGAGTAAAATGAACACAACCTTGCCATTCCCCTCACCTCACACCAAAGATGTACGCTGAGCAGGAAGCGAAATCAACTGGGATTGCATCGACATATTCTTTTTTGCATGTTTCACCATCAACATTGAAGAAGATTATCGGGGTTGTTAATATTTTTATTGCAGTCTTACTCCTCTTACCATCTTATCGAAGAACTGGCACAGCATTGTCATCTCTACAATTAGGAGCAAGGCTTTTCTCGCATATCAAGAACAACCTATCCGTCATACCACCAGTTATTTTTCTCTTTCTAACTGGTGTAACATGGTATTGATTCCAGATCTCCTTGTTAATAGGAGTAAACATTTTTTTATACACTATACCAGCAAAGTTTCCGCCTTTATTTACTTATCATTTGCAGTAAAAGAATATTTCTCTGTTTGCACTATTTATTTTCATAAATTAAAGGCTATAAATTTTATGCCATTTCGGAATCTGTCTTTCACATCAATACTGATTCCAAAGATTTACCACCATAAATATAAATCCTTAACAACAAATTTCAACACATAATCATTGAGTAATCTCTTCGAATCGATCAAACTTTTTGTTCGTTCCATCCATACTTTTGCTGCTGATCTAAAAGATAACAAGCACAAATGACGATTTGCCTTTTCTTTGACTTTCTGCAATATATGTCGTATAAATGAGTGTAGACATTTCGCNTGAAGTGATTGAATTCGATGTTTATTTGGTAAAATACAATCTTTGTTATAAGATTCAAAAGTTGATTTTGATCGCGATGAAAGATTGACATGGATAGGTAGAGTCGAATTTGTAATAATTTGACGAAATCGCATATTCAATGAGTAAAATGCTCGGTAAACATCATAGAAATCCAAGAACTCGAATACTTCGTAGATTAACTCGTTGGAAAGTTTCTCGAAGCAAGTACCGATCACAGACGACGAACTAAAACAGAATGAGAACATTGTTTTTCGTAAATATTCTCTACCATTAACTCACCCATCTGTTGTTACTTTTCTTTTTTTGTTTTGAATAGCATTCGAACTACTACTTCGTGAATGTTTCCCTCGCGACATTCAGTATCACTCAAATTGTTGTAGTCATAAACTTCGTCTTATAAATATGCACATGTAGAGGTGTTATTGTTATTGCACAACAAGTTGAAATATTATATGTGGAAGATAAGATCTTCGTCAGCACGTGTTTTTGTTGTCATCGTGCGATAGAAACTTTATTTGCCGATTTTTGTTGAATTCAAATAAAATAATCATGTCGAAGGTTTAATGTTACGATCAAATCAACACCTTTTTCCTAACAAAAAATTTCTAGAAAAATATTCCCTGGTTAAATGAGAAATATATATAATCTAATGTGATCTTTCTATTTGATTCAAACGATGCGGTTTTGTCTGTTTCTCGTTACACTAAGACTGGTAGTCTATGCACAGTTTAATCTGTATGTTACCGATCGAATAGTTGATACGGATTTCGATCGTTTACATTATTATGTTCCGAGTGAAGCTATTGACATGCAGCTTGATGTTTCAATCAAACAAGTTATTAAATATTGCATTCGTCCAACAAACGATCAATTCTCTAATATATGTTATCGAAATATTTTTCCATTTCAATTCAAACATTGAAGCGAACAATATATGAGATAAAAAAAAAGATATACGAGAGGAATTCTATGGAATTCCCACATAAATGTACTTTGCGTTACTTTCCTTTGACAATCAAAGTTAACAATCATAGCAAAATAGGGAATATTAGTTGCGAATCTTCAGATGTCAAAATTATCTATCTCGGCTTTATATTTTTAGAAAGGTTCTAATTAATATCCATTGTTGTTAAAATAGCTATACGATTTGCTTTTAGATTTACCAGAATGCGTTCTGCCAATAATTAGAATGACAGAACGATTAAATCAGTAAGAGTTAAGTTACTTGCAAAGCTATGCTCGTCGATAGTGATGGTTCTGAAGTTGCAACTTGTGCAAAGTATATTTAAAAATAAAAAGTTCTCTACAGATATTTCAAAGATATTGAAGAAAAAAATGGTAATGTAATGTTGATAGTGCTCTCTAGGTCCGCATATCTTTCACTTTTATAATTATGTTGATGTTGATTTCTCAGCTTAGAAAGTAAAAAATTGTAAGTTGACAATGGTTACTGAAAATTGACGAATCGTGTTAAATCATTTGTAAATGTTGTCACAATTGTATTTCGTAATTCTTGAGCTGTTAGTTCCTTTGACATAATATCATCCGCTCTTTGCTTACTGCTCGTAAATACCATGCATTGATTTTGAAAGCCAAGTTGTCTTAACTTTTTTATGAGACGTGCTTCTGCATTGTGTACTGGCTGTTCATTTTCACGATTCATATCAGTAACAATACGAAATGTATTTTTGTTTTTTAAACGCTGTCCGAATGGTGATTTAAGAAAAGAAATTGCATAATCGGTAGTTGATTTTGGAATAAAGTGTACATTCATATTCATTGCCTTTGCAGCTGCAAATTCCATATGGGATTTATTCTCCCAGTTTTCAACAAATTTTCGATCATCTACCCAAAGTACTGACCATGTTGACAAGCCTAATTCGACTTGTCACATATAAATTGTATGTTGCGTCCCATGGCTGCCGATTACATGCTTAAAAACAAGAAATGTTGAATGTGGTAAGAGTAGCACCTCATCTTCGTGATCGTAATTAGAAAAGTATTGGATACGACGACCCGTAAGCGAGTAAATTTTGAACTGAGTGTTACGGTGTTGAAAATCACCACCATCAGCAACGTTTTTGCCTCGTTTGGCGCTACTGAACTGAAGCCATGTAATTAAAGCACCAGGTGTATAAAGTGCTAGTTCCTGATCGTTAAGTTGACATGCTCGTGTCACATAACCCCAATAATAGGTAATATTTGAAAGTTCTTTAACTAAATAGTATACAACGATTGCTGCTTCTTTCATTTCTTCTACAGTTCTATCCTCAATAACTACGCCATTAGCACGACGAGTGACAAGGCTGGCGCCTCGACTACATGCTTCACTTCTAGAGCCAGTATAGAAGTCAATGGCGAATGCTTCATTCAACACGGCATCGATATTCTTTTTTAACTCTGCTTCATATTTACGGCAGGTTGTCTTCAGCTTTTGAAAAGATGCGCTATTTTCCATATACTCACACAAAGTTGGATTGAAATGATCTTCATAAACGAAATGTTCAGACCGTGCATTATTCAACTTTTCAGCATTATGTTGCAATTTGATATACTCCATGATAGTTTCAACTTCTTCGCATTCCATGATTTTGATACTTGCAGCAGCTGTTGTTTCAGAAGATCCATCATTATACTCTTCTCGTGTATTGATCATCTCTTGTAACATTCTTACTTTAGGGTGAGAGTGAAGGTGAGGGTGTGGGAGGGCTGCGCGAATACCAGTACATTTTGTACCCTGATTTCTTCTATGAATAAAGGTATCGTCGGCCACCTTTAGCTCCTACATTCAATCTGACATAGCTAAGACAGTATAGCTTATACTGTCATGTACTCGTGTGTACTGTGATGTACTGACATGTGCTCTCATGTATTGTCATGTACTGACCCTACTTTATGTTCCAAAAACCTAGAATCGATTGGTTTGTACTGTCATGTACTCATGTACTGTCATGTACTCACCCTACTTTATGTCCGGAAAATTTAGAATCGATTGGTTTGTACTGTCATGTACTCATGTACTGACCCTACTATATGACCCGAAAACCTGGAATCGGTTGCCTTGTACTCTTATGTAGTGACCCTGGTTTGGCTGTAGGAAATGTGGCATTAGTTATTTGTTACTGATATGCAGTGAGAGCCAGACCACATTTGTCGCCGGTTAAGATCTTGAGGGTGGAGACAGAAGATTCGAAGCAACGAACAGTATCTATATTGAACACATATCTTTCTGCGATCCAATTGATATGCAGTAATACCTTTGCGAGCAAGCATTATGCTAATAACAAATTTCATCTCAGCGTTGAAGGCTTGTGGTAATTCCAATAGGGATTTGAATTTTCACCGAAGTTATTGCCATCTGTTAGCCGAATTTTACCTCTGGAACAAGGTTGATAGACTCAAAACTAAGGCATTCAAGGAAAATCGAAAGTATGTTAACGTTCTCTGAGGGCCCATCATCATCAGCATTCAGAGTTGGGAACGAGCAAGATGGTGAAATGAGAATATCTGTGGAGCTCGTCATCAGCAGCATTCAGAGGTGGGAACGAGCAAGATGGAGAAACATGGGTGCTTATGTTGCTCTTTTCAAATTCTCTAGTTGTTCCAAGCGCTTCGATGTGATATGCTATGCGAAGATCTGAAAGACATACTTCTGAGGTTTTCTCTGATACACCGTAGTGCAAACATTCAAGACACAAAGCAACTCTATCTAGCTGATGAGTAATCGACTTCAGGTGATTTACACACAAAGCTAGGCCAATACATTACAGTACAAGCCAATCGATTCTAGGTTTTCGGGACATAAAGTAGGGTCAGTACATGAGTACATAACAATAGATGAGAGTAAATTTTACCGCAAATTTATGAGATATAGTATTGAGAGATCAAAATATCTCGTGATGAATTCAGAATACAAATTGTATTTGTATTTGCGCATCTCTGGGGTGTGGGTAAAAAATCTTATGACTGGAACCGATAGAGCTTATCAAATTGCACTTGTGAGCTGTGTCAGTTCGGTTGAAACATGCACTGAACTGAATCGGCTTAAAAAAATGTCAAAAACCTGCTTAAAAATATCCTACGTTCTATGTCCGTGAGCGAGCTCATTATTGAGGAAAAACCAGAGGTGCAGAATATTCTACAAAATCAAAAATTATCTCCCGCTTCCCTTAAGCTAATTTTCAAAAAACGTCCTACCCGGTCGGGGTGCACGAGGAAGATTGTGCACCTCTGGGGAAAACCTGGTAGAAGTCAACATATTTTAATGTAACATATCCTTGTGCAAGATTCGACTTTTCCTTGAGCGGATTCGTTGCAGCGAAGGTTCCAATCGAACTAACACTGGTTCCAAGTACAACTTGATGAACTCTATCGGTTCCAAAAACAAAATTTCAGAAAAAGAGTTTCCCTCACCCCCAAAAACCCTCAAAATTTTAGTAAAACCCGGTCGGATTCGTCCAGCAATCACATACAGCTATTTCAACACTTGTTCCAGATCAAACTCGACGAGCTAGATCGGTTCCAATCATAAAAAGTTTTACTCCCACCCACACCCTCACACCCTCAAGATTATTTCAGCGCAAATTCGTTCTTTTTTATGAACCAAAAAGAAATACATTTATATAAGAAACAGTTATTTTGTTTCACATATAACACGATGAACGAAATAGCTTGAGTATAGTATGTAAATTATTTCATCATAAACTAACTGTATGCTTTTGTTCTTAGAAAATTCAACAAGTAATTTTTAGTAGGTTATCATATTAGTATGAATTGATATATTTAGATTGGTTAAATACGAGTTCATAGGTTAGTAATTGTTCTATCATAAAAATATTTATTTATTTGTCTTTAGAATGTTTCAGAGAATCAATTTAGTGGTAAGTAAAATTTTTTGGTATGAATTAATTGTTTATTTTTATATTTAGGCCGATTGAAATAATCAATTTATAAGTGAATGAATCTTTAAAATATAATGCGAAGAACGATTCCATGAGTGTGCTATTATCTATAATTATGTAGCTGCGTCTTCTGACTTTAAAATCATCTAAAGTAAGAAATAATAATGAAGTTATTGTTTCCATATGGATTAATATTATACTTTTATATTTAGAATAATTGAATGAATAATTTAATTAATATTGGTTAAAAAACTATATTTTTAGATTAAATAATGTCGTTATGCTTTATTTGGGTATTTGTAACAGGAAATGCATCGTTAGAATTAATATCAACGATTAAAATTGCTTTCTCGCACATTCTAACAATCAAATGGGAGTTGACTCTCTTGTGTGTGTCGTATCAACGAATAATAATAATAAGTTAATAATGATTCAAATCTTGTGTCGGTTTAAGATCAGTAGTGCTTGAATTTTACAAATCTTTTTTGGTGATTGAATCACGGGAAATGAATTATACGATGAACGATTTAAGGCAAAAATTAATTTAATGCTTGAATCTGTCTTCTGAGTCGAAGACAGAGCGAAATAAAGCCGTTCAAACGATATAATATAATCTTTGTACGATGTACTAGATACGAAATCCTTCTTTCTTATCCTTGACATACAGATATGTACGAAACCTTGGTCATACGAAACCAAAAAAGGATTTAGAATTCGTTGCAAAGTTTGACACCCTTTTTTGTTTCCAGTGTAGGCAGGATGGATCCTCTAAAGATTCCTCTTTTTAGAAAATTCGCAATCGGAGGTCAGTATTATTCATAAAATCATCCCCTTAGAGCCACGTAAATTATGAATACTGCTAACAATGTAAGAGCATCAGTATCTTTGGCTTCATTGGTCATAGGATAACTAAGTTCTTTATGTGCATTCTCGTTTTATTAGGAATTAAAACATTTTTAAAAATCATATTCTTTGATCTATGTCACATTCACGTTTTGCAGTTTTAATGCTGCTTTTTAAAAGTTCTATATGAGGATGAGTTGGATTTAGAATTTTTAAGGAAAGTTCCAATGCTTTTTCATAATATAGAATTGCTTTCGGATATTCATTCATCATAAAATACACCGAACCAATGTTGCCATATGATTGACCTATTTCATGTGGGTTCGGTGGAAGAGCTTTCTGTCGAATCTCAAGTGCCTGATTGAGAGATGTAAGAGCATCTGTATATTTCCCCATACCCATATATGTAATACCGATATTGTTGTATGGATTAGCTAACTGTGAGTGATCCGAAGGAAGAGTCATCTTGTAGATGTTGAGAGACTCTTGACAATATGAAAGTGATTTCATATTTTCTCCCATATGAAAATAAATCAAACCAATACTGTTGAGCGAAGAAGCTAACTCAGGATCACTCGAAGGAAGAGCCATCTTTTTAATTGTAAGCGATTGTTCGTAGTACGAAAGTGCTTCGGAATATTTCTGCATCTCATAGTACACTATGCCAATGTTATGATAGGTACCAGCTAAATGAGGATGATTCGATGGAAGTATAGTTTTTCGAATTTCCAGTGATTGGAAATGTGATGATAGAGCCTTCGAATATTTGCCCAATCCTTTATATACAGAACCAATGTTACTATATATTTCAGCTATTTCAGAATAATTTGAAGATTGTGTTTGCTTCGTGATTTCAAGTAATTGTTCATATAATGGAAGTGCTCGTGAGTATTCTCCCATTTCTAGATAGAGTAGAGCTGCATCGTGATATGAAGTAGCTAAATCAGGGTGATTTGATGGAAGCGTTATTTTTCGTATTTCTAACGACTGTAAGTGCAATGAAACAGCTTTTGAATATTCACCCATGTCTTGATATACTAAACCAATGTTATTATACGATAAAGCAATTCTTGGATGATGAGCTGGGAAAGCTTTTTTCCAGATTTCAAGCGCATTCTCGTATAACAAAAGCGCTTTGGAATATTCGCCTATTTTTCTATATACTAAACCCATATTGTTATATAGCTGTGCAAGGTCTGGATGTCCAGAAGGCAGAACTAACTTTCGTATTTCAAGAGAGCGTTCGTACCACGACAGAGCTGTTGGATATTCTTTCATTATATCATATATCATTCCAAGATCACTGTAGGAAGCAGCTATTTTTATATGAGTCGAAGGAAATACCATTTTTCTAACTTCTAACGATTGTTCGTACCATGACAAAGCTTTTGCGTGCTCTCTCATATGTTTATATGTTGAACCAATACTACTGAAAGAGCAAGCTAGAGCAGGATGATTTGAAGGTAGAACTAGTTTCTTAATTTCAAGTGCTTGTTCATACCAGGAAAGCGATTTTGTATATTCACCCGTTTCTTCATAGAAATGGCCGAGAGTGTCATAAAAACAAGCCATATTAATATGATTTGAAGGAAGTGTGAGTTTTAAAATTTCATGCGATCGTTCGTACCAAGAGAGCGCCTTAGAAAATTGCCCAACTGTTGAGTATGTATCACCGATGGCCTTGTAAGAAACAGCTAGCTCTGGATGATTCTTAGGAAGAATCTTTTCATAAATAGCAATGGCTTTCTCATATGATGAGATTGATTTTGCGTAATCACCAATACTGCAGTATACTGAAGCAATATTCAAGTGTGATCTGGCTATGTTGGGATGATTAGACGGTAGATTTTTTTCATTGATAGCAATTGCTTGTTCAAACAATGTTTTAGTTTTCAAATATTCGCCAAGTTCTACATACACACTGCCAAGGCTTATGAATGTCGTAGGTACGTTACGATGATCGGAAGGGAGATACTGTTGATTAATATTTATGGCTTTCTCTAAACATGAAATCGCCTTTGAATATTGTCCAAGCTTGTTATATGCTATCCCCATATTCATATATGCTGAAGACACATCGGTATAATTGAATAAGGGACTATTTAGACTGATTTCTAAATCCTTTTCAAAATAAATAAGTGCCTCTGAGTAATGACCCATTTGTTCATACACCACGCCAAGTAATCGATAGTATTGAGCTCGAGTTTCATCGTAGATTGCACTTTCAAGAAGAGTTTTACATAAATATTCTGCTTTGGAACTTTGCTGAAGCATAATGAGAATATGAGCCAACTTGCACCATCCGGTTTCACGATTGAGTTGATTTTTTTGGTATTTAAGAAGTGCTTTAAGATCATAATTATCGTGACTGATCAGAGTAAGATTAATTTGCCAAAGTCTATCAGTACTATTGTCTTGTATTCGTTGTATAGAATCAATACGAAAAAATGTATGTGTAGAGAAAATAATTTCTTCTTCTGCACCTTCAAAGAATCCGACATTTCTTACATCAACAAATGGAATTGATGATTCTGTACATATCCTAGGATCAATGGTCATAACGAAGAGAATACCAACTGAATCTAAATTATATATTGCTGCGGATCGTGCAAAGACTTCGAGACAAAAATCACGATTTTTACTTGTTGAAAGAAAATTATTAAACGAGAGCAATTTTCCATTAGTTTGCTTCAGTTTTTCAAAGTCTCCTATTGATAAACTTTGACCTCGAAATACTTGAAATGGGGCTGTAATCATATTCCCATATTTTTGTTCATGATGTATATCTTCAATATCTTGATGTAGCTGTCGAATAAAGAAACCAAGTTTCAATATCAGATCAATATCCATTAATCGCAAAGCTCGATTAAGCATTGAAGATATAAAATATGGTGATGTATACCACCATATAGGTCGATAACAACGATATTTTCGTTTTAACATATCAAGATTATCTTGCGTAACATCCGTTTTCCGACGACAATAATCGACTAACTCTTCAATGTTTGTCTCATCGTTCGTCTCAATTTCTAAAAATGCTTCTTTGAATAACTGTGTATACATAAATAATGGATCAACACCATAAACACTGATTGTTACCGAATTTCGGTCACAATATTTACCAGCTGTTTTCAGTGCTTCACAAAGTGGCTCCATTTCGGTATATTTACCTTTTATTTTAGTTATATTCTTAACCCATTCTTCATGTTCCGATTGATTATCACAAAAAATATAAACAGAATCTAATTGTTGCCATGTATGGATAATTGGTAATAAAGATTTTCCTATCGTATCAGATATAATCATGAATACTTTCTCATCTTTAATATCACTGAGAAAATCAATACATTGATCAATATCATTAAATGGTCTTACAGTAGTTATTACAGCACGTAAATGTTTCATTGAAATTTCATAACGAAGTTTCGCTTCATCAAAATCGGTATCAAGCCAAATCACAAGAAAATTTTGTAAAAGTTGACATACTTCATCAGTTGAATCAGCTGTAACGACAATCGATGATGCTCGTCCACAAGCTTCTGATTGTTCGTGATACATGCAAGGTTACTGTATGTCTGTATTCGTGCACTAAACTTCAAATAGAGAACAAAAACAAAATTCATCAAAGGTATCACATGCTTCTGTTTTAAGTGTTTGTTTTCTTTCTCTTCGGAAGATAAGGTGTGCATAGTCATTTACGCAAATAAAGATGAAAGAAGCGTTTTGATGTCTACACTTATACTTAGGGGTATAAAGCTCACTCTCATGAGCGCTCATATGACTGTGAGCTCTTATGATTTCTTTCTGCTATTGAATCTATTAGAAGTTGGTCATGATGGTTGTTTTTGTTTATTCCCTCGACTGTGGAGAACAGGTTTTTTTTCGTGTCCACAATGTGGCACAAATGGATCTAACAATTTTTTATACACGAAGAAACAATTCAAATTTTTGCGCAGATATATTTAGTGACTTTCGAAAGCTAAATATTGAATCTTTCCTGCTCTTTTTGGAGAGGCATAAAAAACCTCAATTTTATATTACCAATGCAATATGCAATAAGAAGAAGAAAACGATGACGCAATACAATGAGCACTAGGGCCACTTCAATCGAACAACATCACTACCATACAAAGCTTATCAAATGCGCCACGAAGTATACACAACAGTCAAAAATATAGAACATCAAACTTACTCTGCTCTAAGTCAATGTCACTTTCCAAGTATCCTCACCCTCATCTGCATACTTCAGCACATTAACTTCACTGCCACGAGACCACACACTATTCCATCCAGAAAAAAGCAACTCCAACTCCAACTCCGATCTATGAAACACACTGGAATAAACACTCAACTACAAAAGAATACTTTTGCCATTAATACAAATTTAACTACGAACACCAACAATAATCATCACTTACTCGTAGCAGTTTTCTTTCTTTGTCTTTGTCAAATTCTCATATATTTAATAGGTTTAACTAACCGAATTAGGGTTACATTTGACACGTCTGATTCTAGCGAATGTATCCTTTGATATCTCAATTTTCGCCTTCAGTGCATTTAGCTACGGTAATACATACGATTATTCGTTGTTCTTTTATTACTCGCAAGATCAGTTCTAGTTGCATAAAACTTGGAACACCCTAGCCATTTCAACTGTCTTCTGGCACCGCTCCTAGCCATCCTAAACCCACATTAGCTTCGTATTCCATTATAAACAAATCAACAAGAACTGAACACCAAGCCTACATAAAATGGCGAACTCAAGGAACAGAGCCACCGATCATCGATTCCAATCACCCACCCCAAAAAAGAACCGATCAACGGCCACCCCCCACCCTCATACATCCACCCATATAGTTTCACCTCAGACCCCCACTCTCAACCACACCCTCACCCTCACACACCCTCAAGATCTTTATTTAGAAATGCACGCAAAGTAAAGAAAAAAAACGATCCTGAAATCAGTTTCAGAAGTCAAACCTAATTAGATATTTTTGATTTTTTGGTATGGGATATGAATGGAAACTATTGTACGTTGAG